AAAATGGCACAAAGCAAAAACCTAAAAGCCTGCCAATCCCAGCCCCCCAGCCCTACCCTACCCCGGCTCCAGGCTAGTTATCTCCCTGTTAACGCCTCTTATACAAGCCAGTTGTTTTTAAATTTTGTTTTCTATTATATGCAGCTAAACCTAATCCTTTAAGCCCCAAACCCAGGAGGCCCACCAGATGGAGAGCGGCAAGAATCCAGGCGTGGAGCATGGAGAGAGGGGTTCTGGGGAGAAAAGGCAAGTTCTCCAGAGGGTTCTGATTCCATCACTTCTGATCCCAAGATGGGCAAAATCGCTGACTCAATCTCCTTGGTTTGCTGTAAGAACTGATGGCGCACATGGAAGAGAGAGGATGAGAATACTTGTAAACATCACGACATGTAGGTCTAAATGGTAAATGACCCCCCACGGCACCGGGGACAGGAGAAGAGACGTGGGTCAGCGGTCACAGGGGACAGCGGCAGCTGGGAGCCCAGCCTGCAGGTGCACCTGCGGCTCACGTCAGCCTCAGGGCAGCCCGAGGAGGTGGGTGTCTTGACATCTTACCCATGAGGTCAGCACAGCAAAGCGCTCACACGGAGGCCAAGTAGCAGAGTTAGGATTCAAACCCAGGCCCTGCCGTGTGCGCTAACGCAGGAGGTGTTCTGCTCCCGGGGGGCCCTGAGGGCAAGGCTCACACTCACGGCCCTGGGCTGAGCACTAGAACCACCTGCAGAACTTGCTAGCAGGCCCCACCCTCTGCCCAGGATGGAGGCAGCCCAGCAGAGCGAGTCACCCCACCCCCAGAACAGGGAGGCAGCAGGAAGAGCAGATGAAGGAGCTGAAGAACCAGGTCACAGCGCTTCCCACCCATAAGCCCCAAGCTTCGCGTTCCCAGTCCAGGTGTGGCCCTCAGATAGGCACCAGATGGCGGGTCCGGAGAGTGACATGGGAGCGTGCCAGTCACCCCCAAACACGGCCTAACAGAGCCCCTGTTCCTGAGCCTGCCCAATGGCAGCCCTCCACGGGCTGAGCAGAAGGAAGACCTGCTTGGGGGGTCAGCTCCCCCTCCTGCCAGCGCCTCCCACACCCCGGGGCCCGGTGGCACTTGCGGCTGCTCCTGGCACTGCACTCTCCCGTCACCCTGTCCATCTCTCACTGGTCCTGAGCTGGGTGGGGAATGCTCTGGAACTCATCCACTTCCACCACTTCAGTTTCAGCTGAGGAGACCAATGAGACCAAGAAGGGACAGACCCAAAGTCTCAGCCAGTAAAGGGCGGAGTCCAGCGCCACTCACCCCCCTGGCCCAGCAGCCTGCTTTTCAGAGCAGCTGGATGACTCTGGATTCTTCCAATGTTATGCTGGTCTGCAACCCGGGTTAGGGGGCCCAGACCTAATACTACCTGTCTCATCCCCACAGGGAAAACTGCTGGACGGGGAAGATGGACCCACCCGCCTGACGGTTTCCACCACCTCAGAAGCCTGCCCTTGGCAAGCGGCATCAGGGTCAGGGACAAACAGACCACAAGTGCACTCAGTTTCAGAAATCTGATGAAGGCTCAGTGGGGGAGACATTTGGGAAGATGCCCCAGGTTCGGCTCTGAAGGCTCCTCTTGGGGGGAGCCACCTCTCAGCTGCCTGCCCCTGCCAGGGTCCAAGCTCTGGGCCAGAGGTGCTGGCCTCCCCGCCGTGGGCCGCAGAGTCCCCACCTCGGTGCTGGGTTACTGGGCCAGCCAAGTGGAGACAGCACAGGCCCTGCCCTTAGAGCCCAGGCTGGGCACGGCCTGGTTCTCGGGGCTCACTCTCCGCTGTGCCGGGCTTTGCCCGTCAGCCGGCGGCGCTGGGTCTTGCTCGTCCAAGTGGCACTCGGGGGCTTCTTGGTGGAGTCTTGGGCCCGTCGGGGACGTTTCCTCTTGGTCTTTTTGCGACTGTGCGCATGCAGTGATGCCGTGAGAGCGGAGATCCTGTAGGACGTGGAAGGCTGGTGAGGCTGGGGCCGCATTTACTGTGGGGAGCAGGGCCTGGGTGCAAAGCTGGGTTCAGGGGTGACCGGTTGCCTGGCTCACAGAGAAAGTCGGTACAGGCCTTGAATGCTGGGAGTACCAAATCCATGCCAAAGGCAGCCTGCTCTGACCCCAGAGGGCCTGCCAGTTCCTCCGCTCATAAAAAGGCCCTTACCCCAGGCACTAAGGACGCCCAGGCCTGGCCACTGTCGGGGAGTGGGGGTGGGGAACGGGAGGAGGGATACTCGATAGGCAGAGCAGAGTGGCTGCTCCAGCCCCCACACCTGCCCCATGCCACCCACCACAGGCTGGCGAGGGGCGGCTCCACAGGCCCCGTCACCACTGTCAGCCACGAGGGAGCAGTATCCTAGGGGAGGACAGACCAGGGCTCACCGCTGGGACAGGAGGGGGTCTCTGGACTTCCTGGGTAAGGCTCTGGTCGGCTTCTCCACGGAGGACGCCTCTTCCTCGGACCCGTGCCCAGCCCCTTGCTGAAGAAGCACAGGACAAGGACCGTCACACGGAGCGGTAGATCGCGAGGCCTGACACCAGCAGTCACGGCTCGGTCAGGGCGGGGCATGGCCTACAGCCTCAAGGCCTGGCTCAGGGCTCTGAGAAGGCCACAGGTGGACAAGCCATGTACCCCCCCTGAAGCGGGGATCACAGGGAAGAGCTGAGTCTCACAGCCTTGTCCCCCTTTTCTTCCAGCTGTGAGCGTCTGCATGTCCACGGCAAGCTGAGGCCGGGAGGACTTACAGAAGAACGAGCAGGAGACAGAAGAGGAGCGTGAGCTCGGTAAGGACGCCACAAAGCACTGGCTCGGGGCTCAAGGACGCCTTCACCAGTGACAGGAAACGTGCTTTGCCTTGTGACTCAGGACACACAGGTACTGAAATGCCCACCCCACCCAGACGGACGCAACTCAGATGGAAACAAACATTTCGTTGAGATGGTACTTCACTGGGAGGCTTTGTGATACTTTCAATGACATTCTGTTCTATTTCTTTCCTCTTTTTCTTTACTTTTGAAAATTTTTTAATTTTGGGGTTTTGTTTGTTTTTGGTTTTTTTTGAGAGCTTATTAGGCAGTTCTGCCTGCATAACATTTCCCCGTCACTTCCAAAGCCTCTCCCTCGCTCATATTCCCCAGCAGGTAGTCCCCCCCACTGAGGAGGAACACTGCATCACACCAACTGAAGCAAAACAACACAACATGCTGCTGCTTCACGCAAAAGCAGTGCTCTCCTCTGCCCTTTCCTGAAGGTTCCATGGCTCCCGAGTCAGGGCCCATGGAGTGCTTTTAAAATTTAGGGGGATCCCCCTCCTTTTTTTTTTTTAAATGTCAGTTGCAATCTGTGAGTACCTCCCCACTCACAGCTTGCAAACTCAGTGTTAGTGCGCACGGCCGGGCCGCGTTTTTGCTGTTCCCACGCACTGCAGTGATCACCATACCCCGCTATCTTCGGTGTTTCTTTTGGATGAATCGCTTTTACACTCACAGCAATCCCATGAGACAGTGCCATCAGCAGTGACCCCCACAACTTACTGGCGAAGACACTTGCCCACGTTCCCACAGCCGCTGAGTCATGGAACTGGCTTCTGCAAGCCCCAGGGTCAGGGATTTTGTCCAGGCCTGGACAAGTGCCCAGGAGGGAAAGAGCCCCTCGCACTGCAATCCCCATAAAGGGAACAGCACTCGGCACCCCCGACAAGCCAGCCTGCACCTGGGGCCCGTCTTCTCTAGGGCTGGAAGTTACACCCACCTCAGGCAGAGACAGTCCCAGCAGCCGGGCCCCCGAGAAGTCCAGGTCGCTGATGGTGGTCACGGTGACTGTGTGGTTGGGGTGATCATACTGCACCGACTCTGTCTTGGCTGTCACCAGCCTGTCCAGTTCATCTGCCTCCTCTGCGCAAGGCGGGCACAGAACCGGCTGTCAGCCTCAGAGCACAAGTAGCCAGACTCTCACCCCCTGCCCAGCCCTAGACTGCAACGGTTCCCTCTACGCTACGGGAGAGTGTCCAGGAAGTCAGCGGCTCCAGAGCCCGGCCTGCAGGCAAATGTAAGCGATTCAACTCCTCCCTTGATGCTCCGGGGAGACCTCAGAGCATCTGGTTCTCATCTAGGACAAACCTCGTGTGATCCCAGCAGCTGCTGCTGCCCACTCCCCCCCTCCAAGTCCTCCAGGCCTCAGGAACTGGGCTTTCTGCTCAGGATCGCTTCACCAAGAGGTTGGTCCTTCCTGTGTCTGATCCACTCACATTCAGAGGTTGCTGAAGACCGCCCCTGGCCCTGACATCACCCCCAAGACCCCTAGAGCTAGGGAAGTTAGCTGTGCAGCCCCCACACCTCTCCCCTTCCACCCACCCAGGGATAAATAACCTAGGCCTGTTGGCTATTCTCCAGGTCAGGGTAAAGATGGGACTTACCCAGAGCCTCCTCTCTCTCTGCCAGCATCTTCAAGTATTCCTGATGGCGCTGAAACCAAAAGGGAAGGGAACACAGTGAGTGTGGCCTCTCCAGCCAACCTCAGGCGGGAGCATTGTTCATCTCCAGGGTGAGTGAGACCATGAATGACTCCTCGTGAAACACCAGGAGATTCCATCCTAAGCCTTCCCCAGACCAGGGCCCACCATGATTCTCCCTGTACAAACTGCTCCCCAGGCCTGCCTACACCTTCCCTTATTCCTGCAGATGTTCGTATTAAGGCCATCCAAGGATGTAAATCCCTCAGGAATCAGATTTTATATACACACACACACACTCTCTCTCTCTCCTTCTCCCTACCCGCCTTCCCTCACCCATCCTCCCCCTTTGCACCTCCTCCCGGAGCTTCTTCTGCTCCTCCTTGAGCCGATGCTTGATCTCCTCAATGGCTGCCTTTTTCCGCTCTACCTTCCTCTTATGGAAGCCAGTCAGGTATTCCCTACAGGAAAGAGACAAGGGAGAGTCGGGAGGAGACACAAGGAAAGAAAGGCTCATTCCAGGAAGAGAAAAACCACTAATACTGTACTATTACAAAAATCTACACATGGGCACCTGGGTGGCTCAGTCAGTTAACCACCTGCCTTTGGCTCAGGTCATGATCCCCAGGGTCCTGGGATTGAGTCCCGCATCGGGCTCCCGGCTCAGCGGGCAATGTTTCTCCCTCTGCTCCTCCTCCACCCCCGCCTCCGCTGCTTGTGTGTGCTCGCTCTCTCTCCCAAATTAAAAAAAAAAAAAAAAACCTTAAAAAAAATGTACATGTGTCACCTCACGTATTCCTCACAACAACCTGTGTGGTAGGTACCAATCCGTTTTACAGATGGGAACACTGAGGAACAGAGAGGCTAGGCTACTTGCCAAAGGTCATAGAGAGTGTAAGGTCAGAAGAGGGAGATGCTGCTTCTTTCCACCCATCCCCCCTCCAGGGCTCTCAGCCTCAACAGGGCCAGGTAGGTGGGCCTATGCACCCTAGGACAGGCAGGGGGCCCTTTCTATGTCGCCAGATTCCATGACCCAGTGAATTAAGCCACTTCTAGCAGGGCTTTCAAGGCCACCCTCACGCAGATATCCACAAACTTTCCACTGGACTGGCACCCATATCCCCAGGACAGCCGCCCCCAGACCCATCAGTAAGGCCCGTCGATGCCACCCTGCATTCCCCTCCCCTATCTGATCCGGGTTCCTTCTCATCTCTCTAGTGCTGGCTGCACCATTCCCAAACGTTCCGGGGGCCCAACACTAGGCTTTTCGCTGACCCACTGCCATATGGCAAAGTGGCGCTCTGAGCAGGGGACATCTGATGGACCGGAGGCTGAGGCTTAGGGGTCCAGCTCAGGGGTCCCGAGATCTGGCACCCACACACCGAAGGAGCTCACGACACGTCTGATGAGGGCATAAATGAACTTAAGCCACGCTCATCTCATTCACTCCTCATTCATCAACAACACTGAGCGCACCGCCTGCGGGGCTGCGGGGCCGATGGGCTGGGCCCGGGAGGTCGAAGCCTGGGCCCGGGAGGTCGAAGCCTGAGCTCCGGGCCCCGCCCCCGCCCTCTGGCCGCGCGCACAGCAGGACCCGGGCCAGCTGGGGCGCAGACCTAGCGACGGGAGGGCGGGGAGGGCGATTCCATTCCCCAGGCGTGGGGGCCGACCGCGGCCGCTTCCATTCCGCGGGGGGGGGGATGTCGAAGGGGAGCCTCGGGCCACGCCGAGAGGGCGGGGCCGGAAGGGACCTCTGCGTGAGAGTCAGCCACCCGGCCTCGGCCCTAGCTGTGGCCTCGGCCGGCGGCCTGAAGGACATCAGCTCCAGCCTTGGCACTCACCGCCGCTTCTCTTCGTTGAAACTGAGAACAAGCCGCGGCCGTCGGTGGTCGCCATCTCGCTTCTTCTTGTTGCGGCCCATAGCGGTGAGGCCTCTGGCGGCGCGCCTCCCGCACGCCTAAGACACTTCCGGGTGTATCGTTTTTTAGCCTCTCGGGCGCGCCTCGCACTTAAGACACCTCAGTTCCGTTGCCCAGGCCCCGCCTTTTAAAGGGGCCGCGGAGCCCGCCTCCCCAGCCCTGCCTTCTGAGGGTTAACACTCAGGTACTTGCCCCCCCTCCCGTAATTCCTAACCCCAATCCCTGTCCTAGACTAGCAACGGTGAAAGAGAGGTCCCAGGGTTTAGCACGGTGCCTGGGCACGCGGTAGCCGCTCAGTACGGAGTTATTAGTGAATGGCCAAATATTGCTGATCCTACTTTTGATTCTGATGTCAACTCGTCAGTGGTCTCCAAGAACACATTTCTGGCGCCACACTCCCTGGATTAGAATCCTGGTACCCCCAATTACAGCTGTGGTTCTGGACCGATTGCCTTCGCCTGGCTGCAATTACCCTATTTGTAAAATGGGGGTAATTATAGTGACTTTGTAGGGTTGTGCAAGGCAGTGGTTTTCAGACTTTGGCGTTTATCAGAATCCCCTGGGGGGCTTGCTGAAACCAGATCTCTTGGCCCCACCCTAGAGTTTCTGATTCAGCGGGTCTGGAGGGAGCCCCATAATCTGCAATTCTAACAAGTTCTCAGGGGATGCTGATCTTGCTGGTCCACGGACCACACCTGGAGAACGATGATGATGAGGAAAAGTGAGTTAGGTAACATTGCGTGTAACTAATATACGCCACACTTGTGTTTGCTACACACGCCATCTCCCCTCTCTGTGTCTCCGCTTCCCCAGGTGTGGCATGGGGGTGTGATAATAACATGTCCTTTACTGAAGACGGCGGGCATGTGAAGGCATTCTGTGAAACACCGCCTGAAGGGGAATTTTAGTAACCGGGATGGGATGCCTGAATCCCCCACTCTCAGTTCATCCCTGCTGGGGCGCTGCACGCAAGCTGCTGCCCTTGCTTTGAAGGCCTGGCCAGCCTGGCGGGGCTGGTGGTCATGACAGTGCAGGGGATGGTTCCTGTGCAGAGGGCTTCCCAGAGGAGGTGATCCCAGAACTGGCTGAGAGTGGGGCTGTCAGAGGAATAACAGACCCTTAAGACCCGCCTCCCCCTCCATTTCTCCTTGGACAAGTGATTGGACCCCAGAGAGCAAGTAAGCACACGTGTATTGAGCGCTACTGTGTGCCAGGCACCCAGAGAAGGGACCTACCTGTTCTCTCAGAGAGTGGCGGCAAGTTGTCCGGGGTTACAGGACTATTCTGTCTCCCCCTGTGCTGAGGAATGTTCTCAGGGTCTCCTGTGGGTTATTCCAGTGGATCCTGACAACGGCCCTGTGAGGTTGGTGCTCGCTCCTTCCTTCCCTCCCTCCTTTCCTCTCTCTCTTCCTATTTTTTTAAAGGTTTTTATTTTTTTATTTGAGAGAGAGTGAGCAAGACAGAAAGAGGGAGCTTGTAGGCACGAGCCAGGGGCAGGGCAGAGGGAGAGGGAGAAGCAGGCTCCCCGCTGAGCAGGGAGTCCATCAGGACCCTGGGATCATGACCTGAGCCAGCTGAAGGCAGAAGCTTAACTGACAGAGCTACCCAGGCACCCCTCTTTCTTTCTTTTTAAAGATTTTATTTTTTAAAGTTATCGCTACACCCGGGCGCCTGGGTGGCTCAGTTGGTTGAGCGACTGCCTTCGGCTCGGGTCATGGTCCTGGAGTCCCTGGATCGAGTCCCGCATCGGGCTCCCTGATGGCGAGGAGCCTGCTTCTCCCTCTAACCCTCCCCGCTCTCATGTACTCTCTCTCATTCTTGCTCTCTCAAATAAATAAATAAATCTTTAAAAAAAAAAAAAAGTTATCGCTATACCCACCGTGGGGCTCAAACTTACAACCCCGAGATCAAGAGTCGTAGGCTGCACCGAGCCAGCCAGGTGCCCCCTGCTTTCATCCCTATTATACAGCTGAGGAAAGGGAGGCTCAGACAGGGAAGTCGTCCGGTGAGGAAGTGGTATATGGAGCCATTCCCTGACTGCTGCCCTCGCTGAGCTTCCAGGCTGGCACAGAGACAGGGACCAGGTAAGGGCACAGCTGCGCCTGCAAGACCTTGTGCGGGGAGCTCTGGGCGGTTGGCCCACCCAGTCCTCGCTGCCTGCCTGCCCCCCCGGGGGGGGACCTCAGGGAGCCTCATGTGCCAAAGCCCCCAGTGCAGGGTGAAGCCCTCCTGCCAGGAGACGAGCCGAGGGACTGGGACCCCACCCAGACTCTGAAACTTCACTGCAGCTCATGGTCTAAAACACGCACCACTCTTTGGGGGCGCCTGGGTGGCTCAGTCCGTCAAGTGTCTGACTCTTGGTTTTGGCTCAGGTCATGATCTCAGGGTCATGAGATGGAGCCGCAGTTGAGCCCTGGGTCAGGTTCCTGCACAGGGGGGAATCTGCTTCTCTCCCTTTCCCTCTGCCCCTCCCCCCACTTGTGCGCTCTCTCTAAAATAAATTAATAAATCTTAAAAAAAAAAAAAATAACACACCCACCACTCTTTGGATTGGTTTCTCCTTGAAATCACTTTTATGTTTATTGAGCACCTACTTGATGTGGGAAACAAAGGCAGAAGAAAAAATTACTAAATTTCCTGGCTACCTACAGCCCATTCACAAGTCTGAAACAGGCAGAGTGATACTCCTCTAGGAACTCAACTTCCTTGATGTTAATTCTCTCCTAAGGGCAAAAGGCAATGCTAGCCTGACCCCACCCTACCCCCATCCTGTGAGTCTACTTTAACATATAAAAATTCCTTTAGAAATTTCCTTTATCTCTAAACCCCCAAGACACGTGTTGGCAATCATCCCCCAAGCACATGGCCCACCAATATACATCTGAAGGGTCTCATGACTAAGGTTTTACTAGATAGTAAAATGACCTTTTCCTAACAATAGCTTGCCCCCTCAAGGTCCTGGAAGCCTTACTTCCAAAATTCCTTAGAGACTTACACTATCCCTAACCCCCTCCCAACTTGAAAGTCTATAATGGGCCACTCCTCATGACCCCTCCTCTTTCTGCCCACGGGTCCTGTCCCCGTGCTTTAATAAAACCACCTTTTTGCACCAAAGAGGTCTCAAGAATTCTTTCTTGGCTGTCAGTTTCGAATCCTAATGTCTTTCCTACATCTCTACTGTGTGCCAGGAACCAGGCATTTCTCTACATTATCTCACCTAATCCTGGCAATAACCCCACAGGGTAGATATGAGTATTAATGCAATTTGATGATGAGGCAACTGAGGTTCAGAGAGATCTAGTACCTGATCCAGGGGCACATGGTGATGGGGCTGGGGTTTGAACACAGGTTTGACTCTGAGCCCCGTTTCCTTCCTGGGAACCCAGTGGTCTCATTCCCTATCTGCCCCAGAACTTTTCTCTGCCCCATCGTAGTCCCTCCCAGTCCTGGGGTATTGTGGGTGTTCGGCCGGCCTAGCAAGAATCTGTGGGGCTGAACGGAGAGGAGCAGAGAAAGACAGTCCAAGAGACACTTTCTCCTATGTCCAGCAGAGGGCGTCCCGCCACAGCCAGACTTCCAAAGCTGTTTCTCTCTGGGTGGCCACTTGGGTGCCCCAGGAGAGCCTGGAGATTGGGTGTGGTTCACGGCAGCCCCCCAGCATGTTCACTCCATCCTCCTGGGCCCTCTTGTAGAGATGTGCTCCCCAGGGGACCCACTGAGATGGGAATCATCCACCCAAAAGGGCCCAGGTGCAAATAATGACCCCCATTTTACAGATGAGGAAATTAAGGCTGGGGGGGTGGGAGAGCGCCACCCTGGGTCCCACGCTAGCGCTGCCTCGCCTGGAGAGTGAAATTGGCTAGGCTCCCACTCCCCCACACCTCAGAAGACAGTGCCCTGGGGCTTGGGGGGAGCCCATTGAGGTGCTGATTCTAAGTCATCCTGAACATTGGCTCAGTTCTAGGTGCTGCTTCCCAGGGAGGTAGGGGCCCTGGAGCAGGGAGCAGGAAGCAAAAGGTGCTGGGGAATGGTCTGCGGGGTTGCCAGGCCATCAGCTCAGGTCCCATCACTTATGACAAGTGAGTATGATGGGCTGGGTTAAACACTGACCTCTGGGGCGCCTGGGTGGCTCAGTCGTTAAGCGTCTGCCTTCGGCTCAGGTCATGATCCCAGGGTCCTGGGATCGAGCTCCAGTCGGGCTCCTTGCTCTGTGGGGCGCCTGCTTCTCCCTCTCCCTCTGCCCCTGCTTGTGTTCCCTCTCTGTCTCTGTCAAATAAATAAATAAAATCTTCTAAAAAATTAAAAAATAAAATAAATAAACATTGCCCTTTGAGGGAGTAGAGCCTGGTGGGTCTTGGAAGGCATGTCCTCTTTGGAAACCAACAGAAGAGGGGCTCATGGAGACCTCATCTCAGGCCGACTAAGTTTCCCCGAACTCCTCTGCTCGGCAGGGAAGAGGCTGTGTGTAGCAGGAGGCCTCTGGGAGCTGGGAGGCTGCCTACTTCTACTCAGTTCCCTGCGGGGCCGGGCTGGCATGTCCCCCAACACCCCACGCTCCAGTTCCTCCTATACAGAACCAGGCCAGCAGAGGCGTCTGGCTGGCTTAGTCCATAGAGCATGTGACTTTTTTTAAAAGATTTTATTTACTTATTTGACAGAGACAGAGGTAGCGAGAGCAGGAACACAAGCAGGGGGAGTGGGAGAGGGAGAGCAGGCTTCCCGCCGAGGAGGGAGCCCGATGTGGGGCTCGATCCCAGGACCCTGGGATCATGACCTGAGCTGAAGGCAGATGCTTAATGACTGAGCCACCCAGGCGCCCGAGCATGTGACTCTTGATCTTGGGGTCGTGAGTTCAAGCCCCAAGTTGGGTGTAGCAATTATAAACAGACAGACAAACTTAGGGAGAAAAAAGGAAAAGAACTGGGCCAGCAGTTGTGCCAGGACCATTGCCTGAGCCCCTCTCCCCAGTGTTGGGATGAGGGTCCTGCCCAGGGTCGCAGAACCAGCAGCTTCCAGACTAGAGTCCTTGGTTGCCCTTACGCACCAGCACAGGTAGTA